TACAAGTGCTACTCAAACACAGTGCAATGCTGCCATGTTCATATATACTTTTTTTTTTTTACAGTTACCAACACTCTTCTGGCAAAGATAAAGCTTTAGAAAGGCAAAAGCAACAGAAGTTTTAGATCCAAAGCTCCAGACGGAAATTAATCGGAGTCTTCATCATCAAGATAGTCCTCGGCATTGCTTAATGTTCGAACTGCATCTGTTCCCTGTTTCTTTTTCAGGAGAGATGCACAGGCAGCATTGGTAGCCATGTCCAAGGCCAGCTTCTTCTCGTTGTTTCTTAAGTCTGTTCTAGCACCTTTCTCCAGAAGCAACTGAACAATATCTGCATAACCCTTCCAAGCAGCAGCATGCAAGGCAGTGTCTCCCAACTTGTTCTGCTGGTTCAGCTCAATATTTGGTTGAGTAAATAGCATTTCCACCATATCTTTGTGACCGCCATGGCAAGCCCAGTATAAGGCAGTGCTTCCAGCTTTGTCTAAGCCATTAACACCCACTCGGTTGTCCAAACACTCTCTCAACCAGCTCAAGTTGCCTCTTTTTGCTGCTTCATGCAATGGATTGTCAATGGATTCTGCCTGCTCAGCCACATAGTTGCTTGGAATTAGTCCAGTCCTGCCTTTAGAAGTGCCTTTCCACCAATTGGTATCACTCATGTCAGTAATGTAGATAATATCACCTTCCTCAAAGTACAATTCATCTGGAGTTCTGGGTTCAAACGTATACAGAGCTCTGAAGACTTTAACTTGCCCTGGCTTGACGGGTTTGGGTGGCGGCTTCGACATCTCGCTTCCTGGCGCTGCGAACCCCAACGACCACGCCGAAAAGCCCACCGCCTGCCCCGCCGGCTGGCCCTCCGGGCACCCCGAAGTTTCCTTCCGTCCGGCTCACGCTCGCGCGCCGCGGGAGACCGGCGCCCACCCTCGGCTGCGGGGACGAGTGGACGCAGGCACGGCGGCTCCGCCGAGGGCCCCGCCCCGCCCCGCCGGAGGGGGCCGTCAATATATAACTTTTATTAGCAGTAAGATCCCTCAGACCACCTCTTTGTGGTCACGCCTATACACCCCCCATTCATAACTAAGACCATGCTCTGTTTTCCATCTGTTTAATTTCATCATTTTAAGAATGTTGAAAAAAATTAAAAGTTAAAATTAAAATTAAAATAAAAAAAAAAAGAATGTTAAGACAGGTTTCACAAAAACTCAGCACAATTCTTTTGTGAACCATCCAATCTGTTGTATGTATTAATAGTTTCTTTCTTGCTGCTAAATAGTATTCCATGATGGAGACACCCCACAGTTTGTTTAAACATTTACCCATTAAAGGAAATTTGGGTTGTTTCTCATTTTGTGCTATTACAAATAAAGCTGCAATGAACATTCTTGTATGAGGGGGACCCCAAAAAACTTGGAATTTGTTTATGCAAAATTGTGTATTTATTCTTACATGTTTAAACTTCAGTCACCTTCAAAGTCCTCTCCATTTGATGCAATACACCTATCAAGACACCTTTTCCACCGTTCAAAACGGTTTTTGAACTTGTCAGTTTTGATGTCTCTTAGTGCTTCTGTTATTTTCTGTTTCATCTCTTCCATATTAACAAAATGCTTACCCTTCAGGACTTTTTTCATTAAGGGAACAAACACACAAAAAAGTTGCTCAGACCAAGATGGGGTGAGTAAGGAAGGTGGGGCACTGCGGTCACGCTGCATTTGGTCAAAAACTGAACACTCACTGCAGTGTGGGCAAGTGAGCTTGAAAATGTCCCATCAGGAAATGGGCAAACGCATCTGAAAGAATCTCAAAAAAAAAAAAAACAATTAGCCGGGCTCGGTGGCTCAGCCTGTAATCCCGCGCCTTT